TTTAGTAGAATGAGCTAGTAACTTAATAATGATATATTGGATCTGAATTTGTATGATAAAAAATACTAGCTATTCATTTAGTAATTTTTTATTTAACAAATTATATATATTTCAATTTCAAAAAAAAATTATACATTTTAAACGCTTATACCGGAACTTTTAAATGAAAATTAGGGAAATTTTCTATGAGAATCAACATTTATCATAAAATATTGTGAAAATTATAATTTAATTGAAAGACTGGAGTATAATCAATGCATCAAAATATTCCTCCTCTATTATCAAGTAATTAGATGAAAAAATGATAATAAAATTTTATCAAAATATATAAATAATAAGTAAGTATATAGAAATGTTATAGTTTATTTGAAATCTATAAGTACCTTTTTGATGTTAATGATTTTAGGTCAAACTACCTTTTATTTAATTTAAAAAAAAGATTCACATGAGAAGTTGTAATTGTTTTTTCAATTATTGCAATTGACGGGATATAAATTGTGATTGTTTAAATAAAAGTTATAATTGATTATTTTTAGAACTTAAACTTTATTAATAAAAAAAATTATGTAAGAAATTGTGATTTTTTATTTAACTCTTATGACTTACATGTTAAAAGTAGAGATTTTTTAAGCAAAAATTGTGATTGAAATTGATTATTTTCATAACTTTTTTTATCAATCATAAAAGAAATTTTACATAAAAAGTTGTGATCTTTTGTTTAATTTTTTATGATTCATAGACCAAAATTTGTGATTGAAAAAAAATCAAGCCAAACCTGTTATTTTTATTTTAAACAAGGGACAATTCAGTTATTTAATTTAAAATCATTAATATCAAAAAGGTACCTAAAAAATTTAAAAAAATATAATATTTTAAAAAATTTGAATTATCATTTATATATTTTGATGAGATTTTATCATCATTTTCTTTAATTAGATTAGATGTAGACCTTGTTGAAAAAGTAATATATACATAAATCTCATATATTATGTTCAGGGGTCTAAAATAAGTACTCTCCCCCTTCATAATACAAGTAATGTCTTTAAAAACATTTTCTTGATCTATAATATAAGTCATCTTTGAACTATTAATCATTTTTTATCCCTGGTTTTAATTAACAAGTTTAGTGTTTCTTTTTTTGTGTTTGTGGGATTTTCTTAATATTATATAACTTGCTTGGCAAATGACTCTTATGCTATGAAAAAATTATTTATTCAGATATTACACTTTTAAAAATATTTCTCTACATATTACAAATTTAAAATTCAGTTTATATCAAACCAAATTTTAATATTTTTTTTAATCTTGCAGTACAAAACTTGGTTTACGCTAAACTGAGTTCTATACTTGTATATTAAAAAAAGATAAAAAAAGCAAAATGTAGGCTCATGCTACTCTGCACCCCACTCCCTCTATCCCTGCACGTTTTCTAACGAAAAACATTAGTATGTGGTGAGTTGCCTCTTTCACTTCAGCATATGTTTTTTTTCTTTTTTTTTTTTTTTTTGACAAAAGAAGACCCAACAATGTAATTGAATATATATATATATATATATATAAAATATAAATAATATATTATGTATGAAAAAATAATATATTATTTTTTAATTATAATTATAATAATTATATACTTCAAAAAATTATAAAATAACTACATAATCAGTCACAACATAAAATTACATAAATTTAAGTCATAATATATAATTTTAGAGTTAGATTGTTAAAAATCATGTCTCCCTTCAATGTTTTTCTAGCAACATCTTATAGGGTGGTGCAATATCATTCCTAAATATCCTATTCATTAAAAAATATAAGTATTTTTAAAAAGGTTTGACGTTAAAAAATGTAAAGTATTTTTAGTCTTTCAAAGTGTAATTATTATTTTTTTACCAAAAACACCTTCATTAAATAAATTATTTTATATTTATTTTAGGGTGAAACATTTTATTAAATAAGGACAAATATAAAAAGAGAATGTTAGTTTGAAGACAAGCAATTATTTTATTACGAAGTGAGATTCGATTGAAAAAAATTAGACCCCTAAAATAAATATAAAATGATTTATTCAATGAGGGTACTTTTAGTAAAAAAATAATGATTACATTTTAAAAAATTAAAAATGCTTTACATTTTGAACGGATAAAATATTTAGATATGATACCCTATAAGATGTTGCTAGAAAAACATTGAAAGGAGAAATGATCTTTAACAATCTAACCCTAAAATTATATATTATGATTTAAATTTATATAATTTTATGTTGTTACTGATTATGTAGTTATTTTATAATTTTTAGAAGTATATAATTATTATAATTATAATTAAAAAATAATATATTATTTTTTGATACATAATATATTATCTATATTATATATGTATTCAATTACAATGTTGGGTCTTCTTTTGCCAAAAAAAAAAGGAAAAAAAATATATGTTGAAAGCAAAAGAGGCCACTCACCACGAAAATGTTTATCATTAGAAAACGTGCAGTGATAAAGGAAGTGGATGCAGAGTAGTCTAAGCCTACATTTTGCCTTTTTTTATTTTTTTTAATGTACAAGTATAGAACTCGGTTTAGCATACATTGAGTTTTGTACGGTAAGATTAAAAAAATTGAAGCTTGGTTTGATATGAACCAAGTTTTAAATTTGTAGTATGTAGAGAAATAATTTTAAAAGTATAGTAGGGTAAATATATATATTTTTTTTTTTGGGTAGCATAAGAGTCAATTTGCCAACTTGCTTCCTCCAATCTGAAAAATTGTATTTTCCGAAGGTTGGAATTGGATGCTGAAGCCGCCGGGTCCGGGGTAAAAGAGAGATGAAATATGGATATAATTTTGGATGGGTAAAATTGTCAAATCAAAAAATAACCCAGAGTATACTGGTCAAAAAATCTAACCCACCCTAGAGCCGGTAATTCGAGCCAGCCCGACAAGGTAGCCCGAACTCACCCGAAAAAATTTAGAGTCGAGCTTTAAAAAATTATGATTATTTTATATTCAGGTCTATTCAGGCCAGAATAGGCCTGGAGAAATTCGAGCCAAGCCTATCGGGTTCAGGGCTTGGCCCGAATATCCGAATGAAAAAAAATTATTTTTTAAAAATATATAAAATATAATAAATATTAATTAATTTTTTTAAGTTTTAAGTCATTTTATGCTAAAATATCATATATTTGAGTTCTATATATCATTTAAGTATCAAAAATATATATTTTATATTTTTATAAAATAAAATAATTAATTTTAAAGTTAAAAAATTAATTAAAAATGATTTTTAAAATAAAATTTGGACATTCAGGCCGGGTTTAGCTATTCAAGCTTTTTTGAGAATTGGGTCTGTTTGGGTTTGGACCTATTTAGGTTGGACTTATTCGGGCCGATCCCCAAAAGGGTTGGCCCGTCCGAATTCCTAGCTCTAACCCAGCCAGAGCTTAGTTAGGTTTGTAATAAGTTGTTAGAATTTTTAACCCATCCAAATTCCAAATATAACCTTGGAGAAAGTCGACTTGGGCTCCGTGAGAAGTGTTGAAGTCCAATACAAAAGACCTCCAGTGGGGTGAAGCCCAGTTTAGTACCATTGAGTCAATTTAACTCAATGGTACTAGACTTAGCTTAACTTTTGTAAGGTGGTAAAGTTAGAGATTCAAATCTGAAGAGGTTCCAAAAAACCCCTATAAGGGTAGGGTGAGGAATAATTCAAGTATCACATTGGAAAAGCCGGCTTGAGCTTCGTAAGGAGTGTTGGAGCCTAATCCAAAATACCTTTGGTGGAATGAGGCGAGGACTGTTATATAAAATTATCTATTAAATAAAGTTGAATATAATATTTATATTCAACTTTATTTAATAGATAATTTAATCACAAATAAATATAAAGCATAATTGATTTCAAATATTCATAAGGAATTTTTTAGGCATTGAGTTTGGATTAAAAACTTCATCATTAAAAAGTGCGAATTTCTAAAAATTAGAACATCAAACCTGGATTAACAATTTCCCGTTAATCACTACATATTTTAAAATGTTGAAACATTGAATCTGGATTAAAAACTCTGTTTAGATCATTATGCCCTAGGCAAGGTAAAACACTTCAAGTTTAATGTTTGAGAATAGAAATATTTCAACTCCAAAAAAGAAAATATTTTAAATAAATAGTAATAACACATTTTATGATAAGCAATTTCAAATAAATATTTTTAAAGCTACAAAAATATTTTCAACAAAAAGGACCCATCATGGCGTAATTCATGGGATCAGTTTCGATACTTATCATAGTAATCAATACCATAATGCTCATCACTGTAATAAGATTTGAACCATCTAATAAATATAAAGTATTATTATATATTTTTATTTTATACTTATCAAAATAAAAATTTGTAAAATTATAAATTTTTTTACTTTAAATCTAAATTAAATAATTTAATTTAATATTTAAATTTTTATAATTATTATATATTAAATATTTAGATGTATTTTGTACTGTCTAAATTAAAATGTAGATGGTGCAAATTTCATCGCTGTGAAGACTGGTCCCGCGCAATTCACACGCAAATGCGCCCGAGACCCACTCCTCTCCTTGACGGCTTCCTCAATCTTGACTTACAACAGGTCTACAGTACCACTTCAAGGATTATCACATGGAACCTCCTTGAAATTTTCAAAGCTAGTAGCTTCGAATGTGTCATTTTTTAATATTTTTTATAATGTCTCAACATTTTAATTTTATTTTTTATTTTTTTTAGGTCATTAGTTTCTACATAAAATAAAAAATATTTAGATATCTTGATATTTCAAAATGATGAAGATTTATATTTTTATAATTTTTTAAAGAAAAATATCATAAATACACCCTTTTATTTTTGAAAAATCATAAAAAATATAAATCTTTATCGTTTTAAGATATCAAGATATTCAAATGTCTGTTATTTTACGTAGAAGTTAATGATTAAAAGAAAAATAAAAAATAAAATTGACATGTCCGGGCATTATAAGAACTTTAAAAAAGAGTACATTAAAGGCCCCTAATTTGAAATTTCACTATATAACTCCACATCTTCTCAGCAAAGACTTATCATCGCAGTTCTTTTTGCCAAGCTAAGTGTGTTACAATCGCATATCAATTCACTCGTTATTATCTCTTCCTAAATACACTGATCATCTCTGGCCCAAAAATTAACATGGCCGTCTCTTCAGGACCACATATCACAACATGGCTCCGACCGACCACATCCTTCGCCCGCCAGCTCCTCACTGGCCGGTGGTTCATGATCTCCTCCTCCTTCCTTATCATGTCCGTCTCTGGCGCCAGCTACATGTTTGCTCTCTACTCCCGCGACATCAAGTCCGTCCTCGGCTACGACCAGTCTACCCTCAACCTCCTCTCCTTCTTCAAAGACCTCGGCTCCAACATCGGCATCCTCTCCGGCCTCCTCAACGAGGTCACGCCGCCGTTTGTCGTCGTCTCCGTCGGCGCCGTTCTCAACTTCTTCGGCTACTTCATGATCTGGTTCGCCGTCAACCGCAAATTCCCCCTCCCGCCCAGCGTCGCCCTCATGGCCTTCTTTGTCTTCATGGGCGCCAACTCTCACTGCTCCACCAACACCGGCGTCATCGTCACCTCCGTCAAGAACTTCCCCGGCTCCCGAGGCATCGTCATCGGAATGCTGAGCGGCTACTTGGGCTTGAGCGCGGCGATTATAACTCAATTATATTACGCTTTCTATGGGAACGATTCCAAGTCACTTCTCTTGCTCATGGCCTGGCTTCCCACGGCGACTTCGATTTTGTTTCTCCCTGTAATAAGGTACCACAAGGGTGTTCAACAGCAAAACGACACCAGAAATTTCTACAAGTTCGTCTACCTGTCGCTTCTTCTCGCAGGATTTCTCCTCATCCTCATCATTCTGGAAAAATGTCTGAAATTTACCCAGAAAGAGTATTATCTCTCATCTTCTCTCATGCTCCTCCTCCTCCTCCTGCCTTTCGTGGTTGTAATCACGGAGGAGCTCAAGCTATGGAAAGCCAACCAACAAGAACCACAGAAAGTAACCATAACCACAGAAAAGCCCAAGCTTGAATATTACAAGCCTGAAGAACACAAAGAAGCCGTGTCGACGTCTTGTTCATGGTGGAGAAACATATTCAGAAAACCTGATAGAGGGGAAGACTACACGATCCTGCAAGCGATCTTAAGTCTCGACATGGCTATCTTGTTTTCAGCTACAATATGTGGGCTTGGAGGTACCCTTACGGTGGTGAACAATCTAAGCCAGATAGGGACAGCTTTAGGGTACTCGGCTCACAGCATAACAACATTCGTGTCTCTGATGGCGATCTGGATCTATCTGGGGAAGATAGCGCAAGGGGTGATCTCAGAGTTCGTAGTTACAAAGCTCAAAGTCCCAAGACCCTTCATGCTCACATCAATTCTGGTCCTTTCATGCGTGGGCCATCTTCTCGTGGCTTTCAACGTCCCAAACGGACTGTACGTGGCCTCAGTGATTATAGGGTTCTGTTTCGGTGCGAACTGGCCGATACTGTTCTCCATAATTTCGGAACTTTTTGGGCTGAAATATTACTCGACGCTGTATAATGTAGGGTCTGTGGCGAGCCCCATAGGGTCCTATTTAATGAGCGTGAGAGTGGCGGGTCATCTGTATGACAAGGAAGCGATGAGGCAATTGGCAGCGAAGGGATTGAAGAGGAAGGAAGGAGAAGAACTGAACTGTAATGGAAGTGAGTGTTACAGATTGGCCTTTTTCATCATCACAGGAGTGACCTTGCTTGGGGCACTGGTGTCACTTATTTTGGTGGCCAGGACAAGAAGCTTTTACAGAAGTGACATTTACAAGAAGTTCAGATCAGAGGAAAAAAATCTTCATAACGAGACAGAAATTGGTGTGGTTCACAAAGAAGCTGGACCACCGAGGCAAATATAGCGGGTTAATTAAAGCACCCAATGGAGGGTGGTATTGTAAAGTTACTCAATATATATTTACTTTTGTCTTACCTTTTCTCATGATTAGTGGGTGTTGCATAGAAGTTCACGAGCAAAGGTAACGGATTTAGAATTTAGACATAATTAACTGATTGCGTGGCTTTTAATTGATTCTTCCGAGTTCCCTTTCCCCCCTGTTTTTTATTTCATATTTTTTTGAAATAAAGTCAAATGATTATATTCACTAAAAAGTATAAAAAATAGTTTTACAACAAAAACAATAAAAAAAAGGACAATTACAGATAAAAAAAATTAAAAGACTATTGCAACTGTTGCTTCTTGATCGAAATAATATTAAAATAACCAAGCAGTTGAAGCACATCTTGAGTGAAGCAATTAACTTTTTCCTTCAAAGATTGCTTGAAGTTTTCTCTCTGAGTGAGAATGGTGATGTGACCTAGACTATGAGAGCAATATGGGCTACCCATGAAATTGTAGATTTAGTAAAGAATTTCTTTCAAGCATGCAAGCCAAAAGTATGAGGATCCTTCTGACAAGCTTTTTGAATTAGAAACCTGCTCAACTCATCACCATTGTACAGGATTTGAGCTCCATAGGTGATTAGTCTACCTTTTTTGAATTTTGAAATTAGTGATCCATTAGCCTGTGGCAATCCAACAATCAAGCCCTCTTTTGAGTTAGATGTTACCGACGAGGATAATGCTGGCTTCCATTGGCAGATATTCTTGATAAAGCTTAATAGCCCTTGAAATTCTCGAATAATTGAAGTTGGGGAGAATTCGAAAGCCCTATACATCTCTTCACCCATGTTAAGTGGAGGAGAAAGAAGATTCCTTTTAGGTCTTGAACCTCATCATCATGATATAGGGCTTCCAATGTAGAGATGATCTAGTCAACTCTTAATACAGCAAAAATAGCAAGAGAATGGATAGAGCATGAGCCATGCATGCCAAATGGTTTAGTGAAAGGATAGTCATGAAAAATGTGTTGTAGGGATTCATTACAATCACAACCAAAAACACATTAAATAGATATCGGTACGTGATGCTTAAGAAGTATATCCCTAGTTAGAATAGTTTTGTGAACAAGATTCTAAATAAAGAGCAGAGTCTTGTATGGAAGGTTTAATTTTCAAAGGAAGGACCAAATGTTGGCATCACGAAAAGACCAATTATAAAGCCATTCTATCAACATTTGATCACTGGATTGCCATTCCTAAAAGGATGGGTTGCTTTTTAGCTCATCATTCTCGAACATATATTTTGAGGGACACATCTTTGCCCCTGCAATATGTCCTTCCAGAAAGTAGCCACGTTTAATAGGAAGAACAACAGTCTGCCATAGAAGATAATTATCTCGATCCAACTTGATTGAGAGAGCCTGGGAACCTGATGACATGATGGAAGGTATTTTGAGTAAGGAAGTGGTAACAGTGGCAACGTTGGTGTTTGTGGCGGGGGGATTCTTGGTACTGGTGACGGAAGGTGAACTGAAGGTAGCCATGACTCTTGATACCAAAACAAGAAAAATGACAGAGAGAATATGATAGAAAAATGATTCTTGTTAGTATCACTGATTGTGAATAAGGTACATTATATAGAACCTGTAGAGCCACTGTCATGCAAGCGCACAATTGTGCAGAAACAATGAAAAAGGTACAGTACACATGTATGCTATAAGGGATAAGAACAAATAAAATATATGCTCTAATGTCTTCTAGTATCTTTTGATATAAAAGACTTAGGTTTAGACCTATCATGTGGATTGTAATTGGCATTGGACTTGTACAGAATATGGGCCTTGTTCTTAACTTTAAGAAAACGTGACAAAAAGAAATCGGAGTGTAAAAGACTTATAGACCAATTGTTTTTTTAATTTAATTTAATCAATGAGAAAAGATTTTATAATATTTCTCAATGTAAGCCAAGGAAAAGAGGGGCAAGCTACACGTTATTCATATCCATATTAAATAAATATAAGATTTTAAGATAGTTAATTTTGGAGATGACAATAAATGTCATATGAGCAGCATTAAGTTATAAATGTCATATGAGCAGCATTAAGTTAGACTCCGTTAGTATTAAATACAAGCAAGATGATAACTTGTCATAAGTTATACGTAAATTAAACAAAAAGCATTCATCAAGAAAACCAGATTTAAAAAAAAATTCATCAAACTGTGTTGATTTTGATATGGGCCTAAATCTATGTAAATTGAATTCAGCTCCTCTAGTTGATGAGAATATTGGGATTATACAGGATTAAATTTATTTTGGGTTAGGAGATGCATGTACCAAAGTTGAAATTTACCCTGACTATATTGAAGTTGCTAATTTGATTATCGTACTTCTGCTATATTTATACTCTGACATAAATTATTTTGATTTGGTTTGAAATTATTTTTATTTTAAGAAAACTTGGGATCCCATACTTGTTATTATTTGATTTAAACTTGGTTGTGGTTAAGTAACTAGGGCAATATAAAGGTGATTTTACATGGATACTTCGTATACAAAAGAGTCTATCTAAATCTCAAATTGACTTAAGAAGGATTAGATTAGTCATGGTGAAAAAAGTGTGCATGGGTAAACCTAAGACATTCAAGGCATAAATTTAATTAAAAATAAATTAATTAGAGGGTTATTTGTGTTGATCCTTAGTAAGGTTTCTAGCACTGTTTTTAGAATCAGATCGGATATTGAACTAGAAAAGTCAGCGATTCATAGTTTGTATAGTTCAACCAGGTTGGACCGATGGTCAAACTGATGAAGTGATAATTAAATTAAAAAAAATTATATATGTATATAATAATCTAAATATAAAAAATACATATAAAATTGCTATTTAACTTTAAAAACAAAATATTTTAAGTTTATCATGACTTAACAAGCCACATAATACAATATAATATCAAATGATTAAAAAAGTAGTCATTTTTTTAAAAAATTTGATAAAAAATAAAAAAAGTTTTTTTGAACAGTCCAGTTTTTGAAAACCGAATCCAGTTCTCAACTTGATTCTGGTTTCCAGTCCGACCGTCGGTTCAAAATGACTCAACTTCTAAAATAGATTTTTGTATGAACCAGACCGAAAATCAGACCAGTCAATGGTTGGACCGGTCTGACTATCCAATCCAGCTTTAGAAACACTAGTTTCTAGTACAAATACTTAAAATGAAGATACCAAGCTTATGTGGTAATGACAAGGCATCTAGAATGAAATAAGGAAGAGAAAGGGATAAAATTAGTCATATCTTATCCACCAAGTATGAATGGGAGATATTGAGTTATTCTTCCTTTGTGAATCAAAGCTCAAAATCAGAGTTGTGGCTTTACCAAAATACTTTAGAAGTATGGGTCTTTGTGCTTAATAAAATTGGAACTATAAGTGCAATATTCCCATTGTTCATTTTTTTAATTTTAAGTAGGAATAGCTTTCCCTGAGAATATGCACATTCTCTACATAACCACTTTGTGGGTGGTTTACTGGATAAGTTAGAGATAAAATATAGACACTTTGCATTCCCAAAAAACTTTCTCCCATCTCTTTTCTCTCTTCTCTCTAGGCATTTGATGTGTTCCTGAACTAAGTTTGCATCATGACTCCGTTCCCACATACGTCCTATCAAGTGCAACTTATCTCATTTAGGTATATTTTCCTCCTCCACAAATTGTATTGGTTAACATTTTGTATCTATTAATAGGAAAGACCAAATGTTGGCATCATGAAAAGACTAATTGCATCAAAGGGTGTAGAGAGATTCTTGTATGTTCCCTAATATATTTGGACTTAAAAGGAGTGAAGACTTATGAAAGTTCACCTAAAGCCTAGACTAATGACAAAAAACATCAATAATGTCCTTTAATACCTGAACATCAGATTGAGTATACTCAAAGAAGATGGCCAAATCATCAGCATGTAATAAGCCACAACCTCCTACTTATAGTTGATTTGTTAAAATTTTATTTAACAAAAGTCAATTGAGTAAAAGTCAGTTATTATAATAAAATTTATATTTGAATACTTTTATTCAAAAGTTAGTTTACTAAATTTAAAGTTATTTGGATTATATATATTAAAATTTACTTTTGAATGTATAATTACTAAAAACGACGTTGATTTATGATGATTTATAATTTTTATTATATAATTATAATACATTAAAAATGTTTAAAAAATGTGATAAATATGCTAAATAACAAAATCTAATATGTTAGATAATAAGAATAAAAAAATAGTTTGATATATTGGAAAAAATTATATAATAAATAGTTAAATATATATTAATATTGAAAATTTATATGATTAATTGTTCAATCTATATTGTAAAATCTTATTTTTGATTGAATTGTGAACTTTATTCATTAAAACATGTGTTTGAATATGATATGTTGAATAAAATATATTGAACTTATTTGTTGAAAAAATATATAAATACTATAAAAATGTTAAAGGGCAATATGGGAACTAAGTTTTCAAATGTGCTTTTCCAAATGCCAAAAGAAACTCTAGTGAGAGTTGAGTAAAAGTCTATTTGAGTTATATGAAATGTCGGCCAAACTGAAATTGAAAATAAACTAAACACCATCAAAAATAAAAATGTGCTTCCAATCACTTTTAGGATGTCGCTAAAAGTACTTTTAATGGGTACCCAAATGGGCAATAGAGTTTACATGTCATTCTATGATAGTGAACTTAGTATTTCTAAGTCTAAGCCCAAGAAGAAAACATGTCTAGAAGCCTATAACACTTTATAACCCATATTGTATAATATTCTTTCATTATCTGCATATTCTAGAATATTCTCTAAGGCTTACATTGTAACCTTTATACCTTGTGTTCTTATCCTTTGGGCTATATCACAGTTGTGCTGTCACTCTCTTATTAGAGAGCATTACAATCATGTTCTCTTTTTATAGTGGAGACTCTACTGTATTGAGGTTAAGCAGTGAGAGAAAACATTTCTTTAAATATTATGTAAGTCAATCTTGGTATTAGAACTAACATACTGGTAATGGTAACCATGAGTTCTTCAAGTTCATCTACCTCTATTGGGGCTGTTACTCCAATAGTGATGACGAACACCAAGACTGTTCCATTTCTTGCAAGTTTGAACCAAGCTAGTTTTGTCAAGTTAGATAAAACCAACTTT